GGGGGGGGGGGGGGGGGGGGGGGTGGGGTGAGGCTACCGGGGGATGATGCTTTCCGAGAAATTGTAGGTGGAAGGAGTGGGGCACAGTCGGAAGAGCAGAGTGGGGTGGAAGAGAGCTGAATGTCGGGGTCGCTGAGTATTGATCCGCCGCTTTGTCGAGGGTTCGATATTTCGTTTCTCCTTTTTTCTATTTTCGCGGTCGTACTACGTCACTCGGGGGCCGGGTGGGGGGCAGCCTCGTGGCTATCCTCGACTTTGACTTTGAAAAGTCGCAAAACGACGGGCGGGGCGGCGGAGGTAGCGCAGGGGCTGGAGGATAACGGACGGGAAACGGGTGGGGATGAATTCCGGGATATGACGAGTAAATGTCTGGAATAGTACCTGATATGGGTGGCGGTTCAACGAGGGCTGAGGGTCCAAAGAACGACGGCAGATCGCTGCTCGTTGTAACTGGTGTATTGAGATCCCCGGGTTTGTCCTTGTCGCCAGCATCGCGCAGTTCATCCCGACATTTGCCGCTGCACGCGTCATCATCATCCCCATTTCTCTGAATACTCTTCTCAGCGGACTCCCCCGGCGACGACGGATCGTCGCAGTGGGGCTGTGCATCGCCATGATAATGATTGTGATGATGCCGATGATGTAAATCCGGGGAATTTGAGCTCGCCGGATGCAGCGTCATGCAGCTCGACAGCGTCAACAGTGGGACAGCATTGCCCGTGCCGTTTGACGCGTTAACTGTTGCGCCGGTTGTCGGTGACACGCGTCCAGTCGTCGTCGAACTTGTCGGCGACGTGTTGTACGCGAGGCACGCGTCGAAACTCAGCTGCACAGTTTGGATGTTGTAGCCGTGGGGATGATGACTTGGCGCTGAATGATGGTGATGATGATGATGGAGGTGGTGATGGTGGCCTGGTGGCGGTGACGACAGGAGGAATGGAGCGGCCGCATGATGCTGCGTGCCAACCACCTCAATTCCGTCCATCGTCATTCTCTGGATTGGCGATTGGTCAGCCGCGGTGGTGGTTGACGCCGCCGCGGTTGTTGTTTCTGCCGCTCCGCACTGCGTGTCCTCGCCTGCAGTCGTATCGTTCAACGCAATTATTATTAAAAGACTTATTATTGCTATTTGTAACTTGTCGTTTCAGTGGTTTTATCGTTTTTCAATCAATCTTGTCTCTCTCGTCCCTCAATTTAACACCTAATTTCTCATTATTTTTTAATTGAATCGTGTATTTGAACTTGTTTCAGCGCTAATATCTCCGCACTTGGGATTTTGTCTGAGCAATTACAGTGGGCAATCGGCGGGCCTCAGACGCGCGCACGCGTCACTCTCGCGAAAATGCCCGGTTGAAATTATAACTACAACCGTGATCGCGGCCACACCAAACGATTATAACTTTGCCGTGGGCCGGGGGGAGAGAGGGGGTTATAACCAAGGCACAAGCGTCTCAACCAGTGTGCATGTACTCGTGGACCACACTTGAATAGATCGCACGCGTGTTTATAATCTCTGGGGTTTCATTTTTCCTCTTTCACTCTTCGTTTCGTATTTAGATTCTCATGCCGCCTCGGTAAGCACGCACCAGCAGCTAAACTCCTAGCTATAACGCTTTAATTGTGCTTCAACACAGTATGAGAAGAAATGCCATTTGATAATGCCAGCTACACCTTGCACGATATCACTGTACTCGGAATAATGTTCATTAAATATAATTTATCAATTTCATCACTAGAAGCCGATTAATTGTGGCACTAGCAGTTTTATTATTCCATTGCAATTATCTCAGTATTTATTCCCAACATTTTTCGCATCTCATCTGCACCGCGAAAGTCAATAAACCTCGTTATAGTGGAATTAATATTTTCTTCCTCTTCCTCCGGCTTTACTCGTGTGTCCGCCTCCTCGCGGTTTTGCGACGATCAACGGGTGGCAGGTATACACAAATGCACCGGCGCACAGACAACCGCATGTATTTCACCGAGTCAGAACACATAGACACACACACAACTGAGCACCACGAAAAAAAAAATTAAATAAAAATTGAGATGAATAAAGTACGAAGTGCGTGGGCTTTCCTCAGCGCGTGTCTCCCTTACAGTTACGTTTTACTGTTTTCTTCGTGCGCCCCTGGTATTTTTTTTTTTCTTCACTGTATCTGTCTTAATCCCCGTTTGTTATAGCGAATGTTCGGTGTGTGGGTGCTGCGAGGAGGGATGTGTGGAGGAAGCGCGATGCGTGGGGGTCGCGCACCAACTGAGCTGAGTCTCGGCGCGCCCCGTAGTTTTATGAATGGACCACGGAGACTGTCCCATATTTGGAAGCGGCGAACGACCAACAGCCAATCCCCGCTCTTGAGTTTATCCCCCCACTAGGTTCTACCGGTACGCGACAACCGTCCCGCGCGGCTTTTGCCTCTCCTACTGATTTCCCCTCTCTGGGGGAGGGTTCCCCACCCGCGGTTTTCTCCCCACCGGCCGCGATATTGCCACCCTATCCCACCCGGCGCGCCGTTACCACTCCTCGGTTCCTCTCTTGCCGGCCGCCACCGTCGGCATCGCAGTAGGCTAGTCTCTCTCTCTCTCTCGCTCTCGGGTGCTGCGAGGTCGGTATGCCCTCTCGGTTCGGTCGCCTATATCCCCTCTCTCGGGCTTTTCTCCCGAGATGGGCAAACGTGCGCGCTTCCCCGCCGCTCGTTCTCCAGTGACGTAGCCACCCGGCGTGACGTAGGGAATATCGTGTGGCGCGCGCCCGGCATCCTCTCACATCACCGCTTGAATACACGCGCAGTATGATGCCCCGGCGTGACGAGGGACTGAGATGGTTCTATTTTTTTATGGAGGAGGAAAAATGGGTTCACGGGAGGTGAATTCAGTTCTGGGGATTTTTGACTCTGCAGGTAAACGAGGGTGATGAACTACCCGAGTGGAAATTCTGTTCAGGTCTTGATCAGAAACTGATCAAGTCCGATCCGAAATTCTGATCAGGCATGTTACGCCTCTGCCTTATGTTCTTCCACTAGGGTTTCTCCGCCTTCCATCATTAGGCATTAATTAAATTTAATTTTTTGAGAGAAAAAATTAGTAACTTCCTAGCCGGGAATCGAACCCGGGACCTCCCATGTCGCGACGGGTGCTCTTACCGTCTGAGCTACCAGGACACTTACAAATTTCACTCTCAAATTGACTCATACCCGAGTGGAAATTCTGTTCAGGTCTTGATTAGAAACTGATCAAGTCCCATTCGAAATTCTGATCAGGCATGTTACGCCTCTGCCTTATGTTTTTCCACTAGGGTAGTTTTGACAGTGTTGCTACGTTCACCTCGTGCCGAAAGTACCTTTTCAGTTGCGGGTAAACGAAAAGTAAACGAAGTCTTTTTGTTTACGAGTGAACGAAAAAGGCACAGTTCGGCCACTCGCTGAACGCAATATCATCGTCGAAATAGTATATTTCGTTACGAGTGCGGAAAAGAGTTTTTTCGATTAAAGTAGCTCTACCCTTACGGGAAATTCAAAGATTATTGAACACTGTAAAAAATTGCAGAAAAATTTCTCAATTTAATTATCGTTTTGGTTTTTCAAAGAGGAAATGTTTAAAAATCAGGGTTTAACCCAGTGTCTTATGTGAAAATCAACATTTCCATTGTAATCAAAGAATTTTTTTGACGCCTCATAAAAAACAATCCACTGTTTTGCAAACAAGTTTTATTATTTATTCATAAGAGGGAAATGTTTGAAAGAATATCAATATTTTGCGAAATTTAATTTAGATAATATTGACTGGGTATCAATTTTTTCAAATTTTTTCCATGCAATTTAGTTGAAAAATTTGAAACCTGAAAATATCCAAAAGTACAGCGTAGCCCGGCCGAAGGGTAGAGCTACTTTAAACTGTTTTACCACTTCGCTACTGAATTACAATTTCACTTCACGATTACCTCTCTGCAGGGAAATTTGCCGAGATTGTCGTGATAATTTTTCTCCAACTTTTTTTCTTCAGTTCGTGGGTCATGGCTGCGGTTGGCGGGAAGGGGGCGGAGGGGGGGAGGAATTATTGCAGCGGATAGATGTATGGAGGGGTGCGAGGAGGTCAGAATGTTCTGTTTCCGCGGGTTATATTCGTTTACACATGAACGCGTGGGACTCCTGAAATAGACACGATGATGGGTAAAATCGCTGAGAGAATAGGCTGGCACGGATTCTGGATTTTGGGGATATTTTATTCTCGTGGGAGGTTATGGCACGGGGATTGAGATCTTAGACTGAGGATTGTCTTGATCAATTCTCCATTCATGTTGGCGGAGCATGTTAGATGTGCGGGGGTGGTGGGGAAAGGGCGAGAGTGACAGTGGAGCTGAGTAATTGGCATTGTTTAACTCGGGGAATTAGGTATTCATTGAGGGGAATGTTATCAGTGTCAGGAGCATCGGGATGCGGATTTGGGTTGCTTCAGTGGATTTTGATGACTTCACTTGAGGTAATGAATAATTTGATGAGAAAGGCCTTGCTGGGAATTTCGGGTCGATTATTCTGGGAATCTGGGAAATTCGGGGAAATATGTTTTTGAATTTTTAATTTTTTGAAAATTCTGCGTAATTTGGTACTGAATATTTATTGTTTGATTGAAAATTCTGATGAGTTGGGCATTCTCGTCTTTCGGTTGTTCAAAAAATTTTAATTTCACTGGATTTTCAGTGAATTTTCATGATTTTTTTTCCCTGAATAGAATTCCATGCTGAACTCCTCGGAATTACTACTGAATGGCCCTTCAAAAATTTCATCAAGTGACAATTTCCCGCGAATTTCAAGAAATTCCACCATTAAATATTCACGATTTGATGAAAAAGTTGATGGAAAATGTAAATTTTCAGGGAAATGAATAGAAATATTCGGGCTTTGATTGAAAATCCAATGAAATTTTAATTATTTTCTGACAGTATCCTTAGAAATTTCTATCAAGTTACAATTCCATCGAAATTTCGAGAAATTCTGCGAATAAAGTTATAGTTTGATGATAAAATTAATGAATAAGGTAAATTTTAGGTCAATTATTCCATGAAAAAAATTGAAATTCGGAATATTTAGGGATTTTCGTGAATTTTCAATTAGTAGAAAATTCAGAAGAATTTGGCACTGGATATTCATGCTTTTATTGGAACCTCAAGTGAGTTGGAGAATTTTCTTCCTCCGGCTGCTCAAAAATTTGGAATTCTACTGAATTGTCAATCAAATTTAAAATTTCACGGTTTATTCTCCTTTAAATCGAATTCAATGACAATCACCTGGAAATTACTAGTAAAATATTTCGTAACAGTATTATATTGTTGGCCATTTTTATCGAGTTTCACCGAAATTCCAAGGAATTCTATCATGAAAAATTCAGAATTAATGATAAATGTTAATGCCAGGTTGACTATTCCATGAAAACGAATAAAAATCAGGGGAAATTCATGTTATAATTGAAAATTTAATGAAATTTCAATCATTCTCTAACAGTGTTCTTAGAAAATTTTATCAAACGACAGTTCCATTGAAATTTCGGGAAATGCCCCGAGCTATAATTAAAAATTCGAGTGCTACACCCAAGAATTTGGAATTCCATTCTCTTTTCAGTGAAACTTGAAATTTTACGATTTTTCTCTCCTAAATCGAATTGAAGATCGAAGATATCGTCAGAGCTTTCATTTGAGCCTCAATTGACCCTAAGATTCCGAGCATTGTACGATGATTTTATTATTTAAAAATTGCAGGTCTGAATTTGCATCGCGATATTGAGCCGTTAAAAATATTTTCAAAATCTAAAAAAAAAAATGAGAAAGATTTGAAAATTAGAAAGTTTGTTGCAGGAAGATCGATGAAATAATTATAAAATTGCAATTTTTGAAAATTATTTATTTCTATAAATAATCAATTCATCGTAACAGATTTATTCATATTCAGAATTTTACCAGAAATCGATTTCATTCTTAAAAAAATAAGGTTTCCGAGAGTTTAAACAATTTCAATTATTTGTTTATAAACAACGAATGTTTATAAATAATGTTTTATTATTATCTATTGAAAAATGAATAATTCTGCGTAAAATGTCATTTTAATAACGCTGAATATTCATTTTTTTTATTTTTCTCGCGCAATTAACAAAAAAAAATTAAAATTAAAATTTGTTAATTGACAAATTTTATGATTGAGAATGGTTGAATCTATAGTGTGATCTGTACCGAACTGCAAAAGATACTTGGAC